TAACAATAATCAAACTTTATCTTTTACTTGTTTACTGGTGTCTCTGGGAGTTCATAGGATTTTTTTCCTACACATTGACCCAATATACAATCTATTAAATAACTAGCCGTCCCTATACCTCGTCTGGTAACGGGCGCCAAACATACCACAACCTCAATACCCCATCCGATATGAGGGTGAACAAATACTTTCCAACTCCTTCCAATATGGGATTTCTCAGCCCCGTTCGATTGAGGTAATGTTCACGGTAGGGGTTGCCCTATATACTGGGTCCGTACACCCTTTTCCATGACACCAGGTAAGCCTTCCACATACATATCTTCATCATCAACCAACCATTAATTCCATATAAGAATCTTATTTCATAATTACAGGACAATATAACGGTAATCAAACAGACAATATAAGTTGATACTTTAGTAACTAAAGAAAACATAGTCAGGACATTTATTTTAGATCAATCAATTTATAAGGATAAAACAGTTACATAAACTAATAATTGAAAATTACAATTAAAATCAATAAATTAAAGCACCCAATGTAACAATAAGCAATTAAGAAAATATAGAAAAAGATACACATCACAAATAAATTATACACTGACCAGTTATCGGCTCCCTCGGTGACCTGCATTTAATAAATAAAAGATTGCCAATATTCTCAAATTTCACCATTTATTATTAATTAAGCCTTAATTAACCGTAATAGAAGAAAGGGTGAGGGATTCTTATCTCGAGTTGGTGTTCAAAATACTGCCTTTTTCACTGCACTTCCCCGCGATTCTCGGATTTCTTGGGTTTTTTCTCTAAAAATTGAAAAAACGCGTCACATATCCCGAAATACCCAAAAAAGAAAAAATAAGAGTTTTAGAATTTTTAGCTGGCTTAGGGTTCTAGTACAGCAGCGCTGCTGTGTTCCAGTGCTCGCTTCACCGCCCACGGCGGTTTCTCCTCTCGATTTGGCCGGTTTAAGCCAGTCCTGCGCAAAAACCTACAAAGTTTGAGGTTAGGTGACCTCTGTTGGCCGAAAAAAGAAAAAATCGAAGCTTACCAGTGGGGTGGTTTTCTGGGGTGGCGGCTCCACCGTTCCTCTCTTGCAGCCGAGGGTTTCTTTGGTCGTCCTACATCGGAAAAGAGTTAGGAATCCAATGGTCAGAAAATAGAAAGAAACGGGAAGGGGATTTGAGCTCATTGGAGGGTCGTAGATGCGGCGGCTTGGCCAAGCTCTACCCTCAATTTCTGGCTTCCCTTTTGGTTTTTGGCACCGATATAGGTGTGGGGAGGCTTAGAATTGAAATTTAAAGCGAAAGAGGAAAAAAACTCACCTCTCAGGTGTCGGCGGCGGCTCTAGTGTGGCAATGACGGTAGCTGACTTTCTTTCGGGTCGCCCTTCTTCTTCTTCTCCGGTGGGATTGGTTGTGGCTAGGGTGGGGTTTCTGGGGAAAAAGAGTTTAAATATTCTTCTTCATTAAATTTGGACCATCCGTTCAAGGAGACATGACCAATTCCCAACCGTTGGATAAATCTTATATGAAAAATAAATCTGGGCCGCACGATCACATCAATTAGGGACGTTCGGTCGTGCTTGAAGAGGAAACAGATTTGGACCGTCTGTGCACGCGGGAGTAGATCTGGACCATTAGATTCGTTCGCACGCGGATCGCCCGCGTGGCTTCCTGCTTGGATGTGTGTATGCGTGTTTGCCATGCGGTACATGGTGATTGGTTGCTTTGCTGACGTGATAGTTCCACGTGTCCCATTTTTCGTTACTTGCACTTTTACCTCAGTTTTTCAATTTTTTTTTCAAATAGGTCATTTTTTATTTGCAGTTTGGTCTTAATTTTTGAAAATTATTTTCAAATACACCCTAAAACATAATTTTCTTCAAAATTTCAAATAAAAATTGAAAATTAAAATTTTCAAATTTCTTTATTAACATAATTTATTTATCTCGAGCCCAAATCCCGGGTCCGGGAGTCACAATCAACCTTATCCAAAATTGAACATAAAAGATATGAAAATTAGAAGTTAGAGGGCATTCTTTAAAAATTAAAAGGCAGATCATGTGACATCTTTAAATATTTTGATATGGGCCTTCAACAAACTGCCACCATTTTTAGTGCATTGCAAGATTATAAAAGCTAGTGAAGGCATTGCTCATATTTGGCAAGACAAGTAATTTTGCTACCCCTATTTCTTATTTAAAAAAATCAAACTTTATATTTATCTTATAAATTATTATCTACTTAATGATATTTTTTTAACAAAAAATTATAAGACTCATTTTAGTTATCTTAACTAAAAAAAATTAATCTTTTTAAAATATTTTTTTGTTCATAAATATAATAAATTCGTTGAAAACAAATTTAATTTAATTATTATAATTATATAAATATATTAATAATTTAAATCGTTAATATTACTGAATTAAATATTATAAATATAACATTAATATATATATGATACGCTACAAAGAATTTATAAAATATTTATTTATTTAATCAATAGTGAATTACTTTTAAACTATTCATAAAGCTTAAAATGGTTTCCACAATTTTTTTCAAAATGTGACGGAATAAAGTACTTGATTTGTAAGATTCTTCTTTTTATGGTAAAAATTGTTACAAATAAGCTTTACTTGGCAAGAACAAAGTAAATTTAATAATTTTTATTTATTTAAGTTATCATGATAAATCATTGCGTTATGTCCTTATTTAAATTATATTATCTTAGAAATTATATTTTTAAGTAATTTGTTTTAATTATAAACATAATTAGAACATTAAAAGAAAATTGAAAAATGAATAAACAAAATTACGTGCTAAATTTTCTACTTAAGTAAATGTGGGCGGCGCTGATATTCATTTACTTTTCTGTTGGCACATTCTATATTGACTTATCTCATCACACAAGTAATTATTTGTTTACTATTTTTATTCTGGAAATTTATTGCAGAAAATTAACCACAATTTTATCATACCTCCAGCTGTCCCACGTTCTAATATATATAAAGTTTGCTTTAACGATTATAGCATCCCACTTCACAAACATTATAGTAAATTATTTCAATAGAATTATGTTATGGGCTTCTATTAGAATAATTGAAAATAAGGACATATTTTTTTTTAATAAAATTATTTTTTGTAAAACTTTTTTACTTTGTTGGGATAATTACTATTTTTTATTTTCCAGCAAATATTTATACATTTAAACTATTAATTGATATACACGTATTAATTATAAAATAAATTTTTTATGAAAATATAAGGAACGAACATAATTTAACTTAAACTTATAATCTTAATAAAATAAAATATCAATTATAAGTTGACTTTTAAAATTTTAGGATTTATAAAAAAAAAAAAAAACAAGCATATTATTTTAATAATAGCATAGATTTTACATGAACTATTATTATTTTTAATAAATAAGTATATTATTTTGCATAATAATTACTATAAAGTATATTTTCTATTATAAATCACTTTGTATCCGTATTATTTATTTGCTTGTTAGACTTTTAGCATCAATCATATGCTTGTGATGTTCTATACGCATACGATGCAACCATAGCTAAATTTGTAAGACATACCTTCATGAAGGATGCAATTGACCTTTATATTCATGGAGACACCAATCTTATATAAGTTGTTAAAGACTTATTCCTAAATGGTTAAGAGAACAAATCTCTCTCCCCCTCTTGTATCTTTGATCTCGACCATAGCATGATTTGGAAAAAAAATAGAGGATGATAGTCGCGAGGGGAGGTAATTTGAAGAAGAGGAAAAATGTGACTTATTCCAGTCATGTCTAAGATATTATATATTAAAAATTATGATTATATATATATATATATATTTTATTAGAATTTTAAATATTATATTTATATATAATTATTGTATTATGTTCAATATTTATATATAGAATTTAGTATGTTTACGTCTAATATATAAAAAATTTAAATAAACCAGAATCAATTTAATTCGTTAATTATAAATCAAAATAATTTGAAAAAAAAAAATGATGAATTTCTCTACTACTACTCGATCACACACAAATTTGGACAAAAACAAAATGTCTTTATGATCATATTTATTTATAAAATTCAACAAGTCCGATGGTGAAGAAATGACTAACCAATCCTTTTCAAATCTTGGTAATTAAATTTGATAAACATATGACCTTTGGATTTAACTCATACAATTGTTAAAAATTTGAAAATTGTACAATATCATTTCATGTATGTAAAACTTACTGTTCTTATTACGTATACTTTTTTAAGGTTATATAAAAGATTGATGGTACCTGAATCCCCCCCCACCCACCAAGACACTCTTCCCTGCTAAATTGTTCTCAGATAATTATTGCACAAACCATACATGCTTTGTCCGTCAGTTTTCTTGAAA